CCCCCGCCCCAGCCCCTCACGTTGCACAACACCCCCGCCCCTCCCCCTGCGCCCACCCAGGACACTGGCCTCTGCTACGTCGACCGCATCCTGTACTCCAGCGTGGTGTACCCCCACAACTACGGCTTCATCCCCAAGACCCTCTGCGAGGACGCCGACCCCCTCGACGTGCTCGTGCTCATGCAGGCAGGCGGCCGGCTTGTGACCGGGCAAGGTCGGGCCGCGGCAGCGACCCCTGCGCGCGAGGGGCAGCTCGCGGCGCCCGGCGCGGTTTGCTTTGAGGCCTCCCCGCCGGCGCGTGCGTCCCTTGGTGGCGCATGCACGCACCACCGTTGGACCGCACCCCTTCGACTGCATACATCGGGCTGCGGCCCGCGGCGTCGGCATGACCATGAGCCCGCAGGCCGACGAGCCGCCCGCGCCCATGCACCCGTTCCGCTGTCGCTGCAGGAGTCCGTGGTGCCCATGTGCTTCCTGCGCGCCAAGCCCATCGGCGTGATGCAGATGCTCGACCAGGGGGAGCAGGACGACAAGGTGGGACGCGGGCTGGCTGACAAGCTGAATCGGGCGGTTGGGGCGGCTGGGGGGCGAGCTTGGGCAGTAGTCGCGCCTCTGGGGCCTGCCTGCCTTGTGCAGCTGCCACTGGCCGGAAGGATGGTGGCAGGCGGCGGCGCGGAATGATCCAGGGGTCGCGCTCTGTCCACCAATGTGCGGCGGCTGCGAGCAGCATGGGCTGGCCGGCGCGCAGCGCAGTCGCGGCGTGGCCGCCTGCAAAGGGCTGCTGGCTGCACAGCCGCGGGTACCAATGGTTGCGGGTGTGCGCGAGCCGGGCGAGCTCAGCAGCTGCCCAGCAAGGGGAGCAGCAGCTGCCGGTGCGTCTGCGCCAGCTCCAGGGCAGCAGCGTGCGTGCTCGCGACTGCTCGTCCCCACAAAAGCTGACCCAAGCCCCCCACTTGGACGGCCCACCCCGTTGCGCCCCGCTGGATGACCCCCTGACGCCAGGTCATCGCCGTGGTGAGTGCTTGGCAAGCGGCGGTCGCTTTGCCGCCCCGTCGCTGTCCTGTCCTTGCCTGCACGGGCTGCGCGGCCCGGCTGCGCCCGCGCGTTCCCCGGCTCCTATTGCAGAATCCCGCCGCACGCAGCCGTGGCACACGTCCGTACCCTGTTCGCGCTGCCACCCTCTCGCAGCGTGTCTCCTATCCATCCCTGCCACCCCTAAGC